AATTCTTGCGCGTTTCCAAACTGCAAAAATTCGGTACATTCGGTAATGCCCTGCAACTTGTAACAGTGCTAATTTTTGGAGTTCTCGGAATTTTCTGATGGCGCTGCAAAAAAAAATATATACAAAAATATAAGCTCGAAACTAGGTATTTGTTACAAGAAGTATCCACATAAGATGGAAACTACTACAGTCTCATTTTATAAAATTTTTGTTTATAGGAAAACGCATAGTAAGGCAGTTTGCGTACGACGGTTCGGTTATTTGTACAATGATTTTGGTTATCGTGCCCGAACACGTGACCCGAATCAAAGAAATTTTAACAATACGTCTAGTCAAAGGATTACACCTTAACCAAAAAAAAAATTCGGTTTGAAATATGCACTTTTCTGTAAAGTCGGAGGTGGATTTTGCGTAAAAATTCTGTGGATGGCGTAACCGGGGTTGGTCTGATTAGGTTAATTGGCTAGCGCGGCCGAAGACCACCAACGCGGAAAGAAGCTTTGCGCAAAAAATGGCCTTACATAAGTTAATTTTTCTCTGCAAAAAAACTTATCTTACTGCCAATCTGGGGGTGATTAGCTAGGTCCCACTCGCCTGTTCAGCAGCTTTTGGAGGGTGCTCCGGGTGGTCATCGATACTAACGCTATTCACACCGCTTCCTTTTTTTCCTGATTTGGGCTAGCAACGCGTTCACCAATCGACACTTGCACTTTTTGTATCACTTTTGTTCGTGCGAAGAATTCGACACTTTTACATATGCATAATGGAGCACTTGTATATACCCCAAATTCGACTGCACCTAATTTAAGTTATTAAACTCCGCAATATTGCAATTACACGGAATTTTCCACCTCAATTTGGTTATTTGCTATTCACTTTGCGAATGCGCCACAAAAATTATCGTACAACTCAAACAAATGAAAACCATTCAGCTCGTGCAGTAAAAAGTAACTCGTAGCAAAAACGTAAATGGCCGACATGGGGGTTGCCAGTAGGTTTTATACCCGCTGCCAATTACGTCGCAACTTTGGGGTGCCAGTTTGAGATGGCCGTATTGTCATGGATATGCATGAAACCCGATTGGGTTTATTTGTTCTTTTTTTCTTATATTTTATTAGAAAATTAGGAATACATAGGTTGATTTTGGAACTACATAACCGATTTACGCTATGTAAATGTAGATCAGGGCGTCAAAATTTATTGATAAGATATTTTATTTCCAGAAAACATAACTTTTACAATTTATTAGCTTACTCTATCGACTATTGTTAGAAAGCTTAGTTTCAGGAAATGTTAAAGAGGACCTGTCTATGTTAAGTATCCTAAAAGTTGGAAATAATGATATTGCAATATTTGGAAAAGAAAAATTTAGTTATTGTGTGTTAGAAAAAGGAAATGATTCTGTTAAAAGTTTTATTTAATAATAAACGCTGCATGCATATCGATTTTTGTCATTTCGGCCATCTCTATATCTCGCGTAATTTGGTAACGGGAGTCTCGCGTGGTTTTTTGTAACGCAGTCTAGCGGAAATTTTGGTAACGGCAGTTCGCGCCCCCAATGGTATCACGACACGCTATCTCCGCTTGTGTCTCTCGGCTAAAGGTGTAGTGATCTCTTTTCCGCTTAGAGGCATTTTATGTGCTTGCGGGTAATTTTTCATGTAGTGGCAACCCCACCATGAGTTGTCAAGATGGCAGACTCACATAGGAAGTTTTAGCGTTGCCGTACGCCCTGGACAATATTAGATGGTAAATTTTTATGGCACGCTACCGGGTGCGCTATATGCCGAAGAATAAAGTATTTGTTTTGTGCGGCGAACAGTAACCCATAACACGGGCATGGTTAAATCTTTCATTTGATATACTTTTTCGTTGCTCGATCTCTTTTGGTATTTACAAACATCACATAAAAGTTATAATACGATTTCTTTTTCATGAAAAGTATAATTACAAATATATTACGATCGAATTTCGAGTACAAAAGGATTACAATCTCTCGTAATAATAGGAATAATAAGCTAAATAGGGTATACTAATACTTCTAAACTTTTACCTTCGAAATCATATTCAGTGAAATGGTGTGAAAAATCTTGCTCAATAGTCTTTGGATCTTTCAACGCCTCGTCGTGTTCTACGGACAACTGCATTGTCCAAGGTCTGAAAGAAAATAAGAACATATGATAAAACTTTTCTGAACATCTGTCAAGACTTTTATAAAACTAAAATCCACTTCAGATTTAAATTTTTTGTTGTGTGTCCGATAAAGTAATTTCAACGGCACCCTGAAATTGTGCATATGGAAACTGTGCATACGAAATAATGCATATGAAAAAAACCGAAATAATGCATACGAGAAAAACCGAAATAATGCATATATGCACAGTTTCGGTTGAAAACCGAAATAATGCATATGAAAAAAACCGAAATAATGCATATATGCACAGTTTCGGTTAAAAACCGCAATAATGCATATTAGAAAAACCGAAATTATGCA